AAATCTGGAAAACAACCCTCAAAATCATCCTGGGCCTCCTACTAGGTGAAAGGGAAAAGTTACAAAACTGGACCTAGTGTTTGGAATATTCATTTAACAAGCACCTAAAGCTTGAATTTGTTTCTACTGCTATGCAATTTCTTAAAACCAAAGTATTAACTTGGGGAATATTTAAAATATATTTATTTTATCTATTAAAAATATTCATCTTTTTACCAAAAACAAATTCCAACTAAAAAGGTTTTCAAATTACTGGAGATATAGAAAAAGGTGGCAAGTGGAAAAATAAGTGTCTTTGCTATTACCAACAAGACTAGGCTACCAATAATATTTACTAAGATCAAAAAGGAAATACATGAAGGGACAGGAACTGATAAGTTTTCTCTAAGGGCATCGAGTAAGGTCACACTCCCTGTCCTCTGTAACCAGTGCCACTCTTCTACTTTGGGCACTACCATGCTCTCCAGCAGCCCCTGGAGGCCACAAGTTGCTGGTAGGACCTAGAACTGAAGTGGTATGAATATAAAGCAATGAGCTTGATGGATGTTTTTAAAACATACATCTGCACGTGTACATGTACACACAGAATACGTACATTCAGGTGAGTGATGTTCCCCACTAAAGTAGTCACTGAAGAGACTCCATATATCTCAGTGATGACCATGATCTCTGGAACTTCTCTTTAGGAACTGTATGGGAACTAAGAGCTGAACAAGTAGACAGCTCTGGCTCCTTTACAGTGGCACCTTATTCATGACTCCAAACCTCTTGATAATCCACCTGCTTTCTTTCCCAGAGGGCTTCATTAGAGTTTCTCGCTAGCTTCAAATTTAAATTTTCCCTCCTATAACCTCAAAAGTTCGAAGATGTGCCCTGAGAAGGTGGGGTCAAATCTTTTAAGAAGCGTCACAATCAGTCAGGTGCACAGTAACTCCCTGGACCGGTGAGTTGCTATTCTGGACCTTACCTCTGCCTTGGTAAAAGGAGGAAGATAGAACACATTACCATTAAGGTTCCTTCTAGTTCTAACATTTTAGAAGTCTATATTTCTAGACTTTAAAGACAGTTCCAGAAATGTTTTCACCAATGGAAACAACATTGGAAAAACTATGCAGTATCCTGGGGCTACTAGAGGAGACAACATACACTGGGATGTAAGAGCTCTGCAAGGTTTGTTTAAAATGCCAGTCACATGACTTTATAGTAACAGCTCATTCACACACAGGGAATGCCAGCCCTCTGAGATTCCCCAAAATCATACCATAACTCCTATCTTCAATGAGCCCAGATGGGCAAAAGCACCAAGCACCACCAGGGATGCAAAAGACACATGGTGTCAGCTGCTAAGGAAAGTACACCCCAAAGGTCCATGGGACTGAACTGACCAGCTGCATCCAGCTAGATACCTTGTTTCCACAGTATGGAGTTTCAGCAGTTCTTTGCCTGACTTTGGGATGAATTTTTAGGATTTTAGATCAACATTGCAGATAACTCTTGGCCATGTGGAAAGCAATGATGAAGCCTGATTGTAGTTTGTCTCACACACTAGGATGCCCAGGAAAACAGATGGCCATAACTGTGGATGTGGGGATAACTGCACAGCATCTGTCCATATGTCCTGTCAATACTGATTATTTGCTTGTAGATTTTGTACTATCAATGTTTGATGCCCAGCCAGTATTCCCCAGGCACCCCTGGCAAGCCATTGAGTTGCAGTCCATTCGGGCAACCTGTTAGTGTAGAAAATCCATGGGATTTGCTGTCAGCAGACCCAGTGGCCAGTCTGGGCTATGCTACTTCATAGTAAAACATTAATATCTGCACTGTATTTCATTATCTAAAAATGGGCTAACACCACTTACATGTCAGGTTTCTTGGGAAGACCAAGTTAAGTGACATCTGTAAATGCACTGCAACTATATAGCATTAATCAAATGTTACTTTTCAAACAGAGAATATAAATTAACTTTTGTAGAAGCATAAGCTTAGCTGATTTTGGAAGGTATACTGATGGTCTTCAACTTAAGATGTTGAGATTAATTTAAGATTTTTCAACTTAATGATGTGTGAAAACAACATGCACTCAGCAAAAACCATAACCCCATCATAAGTCAAGAAGCATCTGTTTACATAGATCTTCAATATATGACATTTTCAGTTTATGGGTTTATCAGGATGCAAACGCATCAAAAGTCAAAGAACACCTATATTTGCTTATGACAAAAAGGAGGAAAAAGAATATGATCTATCATTTTAGATCTGCCAAAGAACTACACTGTCCCACTGCTTGGAAAAGAATGAATTTTTATCTGCAAGGCTGATTTAAAACAACACCCTGTTGAAAAAAAGTCAGGAGGACTAAGAGTTTGAGAAGGTATCCCCTCTTTCCTCTACCATTTCTAACTCTGGTCAAGACGCTCCTGAATGAGGCCATTCCGAATCTCATTCCAAGTAGGTGCTGCTGGATTTAACCCAGAAGCCCTCAGCAACAGGTCTCTCAAGGGGGATGGAATGTTTCTGGTCTGGGTCACAGAGCAAGAGATGCGGTTCCCTCAGACACTGACTACGAAGGCCCTGGAACCTCTCAGAACCACATCAGACAGTGTTTTGCCATTAAAAGAAACCCAAAGTGAGAACACTCAGCTCTCGGAGAAATGATCAAGTCCAAAGGCCTCTTAAAAACAAGGAACATTGTCCATTAACTGCTACTTGGCCCCAGCCATGCTACTGGACCGCAGAAGATACTGATCCACGCTGCCTTTTCGCCGGCTCACAGTCCGCCTCTCGTTGTCAAACACACGCTGCAACTGCAGGGCCAGCTGGTGGTCCTCCTCCTCTTGCTGCAGTTTCTGCTCCATCTCTCGCAACACTGGGTCTGCTGGGGCCAGACCCACCTCACCACCACTCTGTCGCAGTTTCTTAATGGAGCCATTTTGTTCCAAGTGCTTAGTCTTACAGTGTCTCTTCCGGCCCCGACGCAAGGAAGGAAGTGGCTCCTCACCTAGATTATCTACCAGGACACCATTGGTCAGCTCAAAATGATTGAATGTCTTCAGCTGTTTCTTTGTTTTGAGGACCCCACCCAAAACACTGTTTTTGGGTAGCACTGAACTAACCGCTGAGATTTTCATGGCTGTGCTTATACAGGTTTTATCTGCCTTGGCATCTGGGGTTGACCCTGGCCCCTCAAACTGTTCCCTCTCCAAAGAAGTTCCACTGACTCCCCCTTTGAGTTCTGAGAAACAGCAAGTTTCCAATGGAGTCTTACTGCTCCTCTGATTCTCCCTGTACTGGTCTCCTTTCATTTGGCTGGCAGATGGGAAGTATTCAAGCTCAGTGGGAGTGGGTGCAGTACATGCAGAGGGTACCTGCCCACTGGACAGTCTTGGATTTAAAGCCACAAGTGTCTTCTCCTTGCTAGAATGGATAACTTCAGAACCTAATACGTCTTCCCCTATTTCAGGAGCCAGGGAGGTGAGAGTGGCTTTTGAAAGGGTCTTTTTGATCTGCCGCTCCTGAAAGATCTGTTCCCACTTTTTGAGGATCCGTGGACTGGCCTCATAAGATGTCTGCTTCTGCAGGCTTCTGCTCAGGTTGCGGGGAGTTGACTTGATGATAAGAGGACTGAGCACACGGCCATCGGGAAGTCTCTTGGGAGGAGTACAAGGAGAGCAGACGATGGGCTTGAAGTGGTTTAGTTCCTCAGAGATGCTGTCATTGCTCTCTGGACTGATAGAGCGTTCTGGCTTATGCAGGGAAGCCAACGATGAGAGGGAATTGAAGGCTAGACGCTTTTCAATGGCTAAGTCAGGGGCTGAAAGGCAGCGGTTGTTTTGGGTGGATAAGAGGACACCTATGATGGGGTTGGAGGTTGGAGTCATAGTTGTGACCTGGAAGAGAGTAAAAAGATTATACGTGTGTGTGTGTCTGTGTGTGTGTGTGTGTGTGTGTGTGTGTGTGTGTTTTCATGATTCCTTTAGGATGGTGGAAAGACAGGGAAAGTAAGAAGAAAAGGCAGAAAGGCTGTCCTAAGATATGGGAAAAATCTCTAACCTAGAAAGCATACCACCTAACAGAAACTCTTAGACACTTGAAACAATTAACAAACAATCTGTAAGGATCAGTGAGGGAGGATAGAGGGATATTGATGAACAGAAACAAAATTACAGATAAATAAGAGCAGCAATATCTACTGTTTATGAAGTATAGTGGGGTGAATATAGTTAACAACAACTTACTATATAACTCAGATTAACTAAATGAGGATTTTGAATGTTCCCAACACAAAGTAATTACAGCTGGTTGAAGTGACGGATATCCTACTTACCATGATTTAATCATTACACATTGTATTCAGGTACTAAAAACTCACACTGTACCCTTACAAATATGTACAATTATATATTAACTTAATAATATTTTTATAGCTTTTAAAAGGTGACTGTAAAAGACCTAATTCCATCCATGAAGCTACTAGTTCAAACCCTCTTCCTTCCCATGGCTCTGCAGAACTCTCCAGTGTAAGGAGCCTGTGGGACCCAGTGTGCCTCCCTCTGAGGCCATGTGCGCAGGAGGCCCAAGTGTACCTTGGCTTTGCTGGCTGCAGCTGCTCGAAGTCTGCTCCGCACTCTGTCCTGACCTGCGTCACTGCAGCTCTGACTCCTCTCCACCTTGGAGGTTAGCTTCCTGAAGAAGAATAAATAAAAAATGAATAGTCAAAATTAGTCCATAAACTAGTTAAAGTAAAAGGCTAACAATCTCTTTTGTGCTTTCTAAGCCACTCACCAATAAAGACAACTCCCTTGGGCAGCTATAATAGAAAATGAGTTAATTTGTTAACAAAATATATTCTAAGAACAAATTCTACCAAAAGAGAAAGAGAGTCTAGAAAGAACATTCAGTGCAAGCTTTGGTTTCCAAATCAGACCCTGCCTAAATGAGGCAAGACCAATGGAAGTTTTGCCCAAGCTTAGAAGAGATGTTGGGGTTCTTCTTCACCTTCCTTCACAGATAGATACAGAGTTCAATCACCTTTACAAATAAAAACACTTTCCTTTTGGGACCGGCAGGTGGCGAGGCAGTTAAAGGTGCTGGACTCCCACATGGCCAACCATGGTTCAAGTTCTAGACCTGGCAGCTTGCTTTCTCACACCCCCCCCC